ACCCAAATCTCACCAATTATGCATTTATCATCACAGCACTCACGAATCAACGAGAATTAATAATACTACGAAAGAAAAAAAAGAGGCTCAGATGCAACATTTTATGTCTAATATCTGACTTGGCAGGGGAGACCCAAATCTCACCCAATTGTGCATTTACCATCACAGCACTCATGAATCGACAAGAATTAATAATATACGAAGAAAAAAAAAGGCTCAAATGCAACATTTTATGTCTAATCTATATCAGACTTGGTAGGGAGACCCAAATCTCACCCAATTGTGCATATATCATCACAGCACTCACAATATTACACCAGCCGGGAATCGAACCCGGGTCTGTACCGTGGCAGGGTACTATTCTACCACTAGACCACTGGTGCTTGTTGTTCCAAAATTTGAACTTGCTTTATTACTTCCTCTGTTTCTATTTATATGTCGTTAAGAATATATGTTTCTTAATATTTCACATTTCACAAAATTAATACATATGACACTATTCTTTCTATTTACCTTGATAACATCTCCTTATACTTTTAATTGTCTTGTTGCGCTTTTGAAAGTTAAATTAGATTATATCAATTTAATATTTTAAAACGAAAAAATTTAGATATTAAAAAACTATACGAAAAGTACTACAAATTACTCCTTTCGTTCGGTATTGTTTCTCATGTTGCGCTTTTCGAAAGTCAATTTGACTAATTCTCAAAATTAAATTAGATCACATTAATTCGATATTTTAAACTAAAAAAATTATATATTCTAAAACTATATGAAAAATACTATAAATTGCAATTTTTTACAAATTAATATGATGAAAAAATACATCTTATAATGTTAGTCAAAATTTTTATAGTTTGACTCTAAAAATAGAAATCATGACAGATAATACCGGACGGATGGAGTACAACTTTTTGTATGTCAATATGATGAAAAGATACATCGTAAAATGTTAATCAATGTTCTTATCGTTTGACTCTAAAAAAAACTATGACAATTAAAAGTGGACGGAGAGAGTAGTTATTATAGCCTTGAAAGTATGAATTTGACCAAACATAGAAAATTAAATGATTAATTCATGTTCATTGGTCAATTTAATTAATCAAAATAAATTTATGTATGTTCATTTATTGAAAACTTGACTTCAAGAAATACTAAATAAGAGTACAATGGTAACCTTACATAATTTCTCAAGAGACGTAAAATCTAAAATGGTGACATATAAATAGAAACAAAGGAAGTAGTACTTCATTATGTTATTATTTAAGATATACAAGTTACCAATTCAAATATTCCTATAAAATAAAATATGGTTGATCTAGGACTTGCATATAAACAACAATATACCCATGGAATCCTACAAAGTGAGGTTTAAGAAAGATAGAGTGTTAACTATTTATAAAATCAAAATGTAATCTTATATACAATGTAATTTCGATGAAAGAGTGTCAAGGTAAGGATGGGTTCGCCTCTGCTTATATAGTATAAGATATTCAAAAAATAACTTAACACATTAAGTAATTTATCAAATATGAATTTGTAAAACGTTATGTTTGCTAATCTCTAAGGGTTATTTAGTAGTTGGATAGCGTTATATATGTATAAGTAGTATGAGTATTGGTTATGGAGAAATTAAGAGAAAATGATATAAATAGTCCCTTAACTATAGTAGTAGGTCTAAAATGGTCCATTATATATACACTTAACATATAAAGTCCTTTAAATATTCAAAAACTTGTCAGCTTTGGTCCTTTAACTATGCACTTACCGGCTTTAGTGCCTTAAATATAAAGTTACCTGTTTTAGCCCTTTAAGTATTTAAAAACTTATCAAGTTTGATCTTTGTTCATTTCTTTAATACAAATAGTTTTAGGTTTATATTAACAAAAATATTCGTGAAATTAAATCTTTAACCCATTTTTAAAGTTGTTTCTCTATTCACACCCCTTTTTCTTCAAACTACTGTTATAAAAAGAACAATAACGTCTACGATTCAAAATAGAATTAATAAAAAAAAAAGATATAAGTCCTAATTTTATTCAATGGAGGATAAAATTACACATATAATTATTTTAATGACTTGAACTCGCACTTGAATATTTTAATTAGTGTGAATTTTATTAAATTTGCTCAAATTATTTACATAAAATAAAATGAATAGAATAACAAAATCGATCTATTTAAAATTTATTAAAAGAATTACAAATATACCATTTTATAAATTTCAATTTCTAAAAAATTAAACAAATTCCTCTCAATGAAGTCGTTAAAGTACAAACTTTGAATTTAACGGGGAATAATTTTTTTCTTTTTATAATAAGGTTTAGCATATTCAAGTCATTAGTAGCAATACATATGCTCCATTTTATCCTGTATTGAATAAAATTATGACTTATATATTTTTTGTCTGTGAATTTTATTTTGATTCATTAAGGTTAAGGTTCATCGCATAAGGTTAATTTGAAAAAAATAAAACGGAGAGAGAAAAACAACATAAAAAATTGTTAAAGATTTAATTTGTTGAGACATGAATTCTGTTAATATGAACTTATATTATTTATATTAAAAATGAAAAAAGATCAAACCTGATAAGTTTTTGAATACTTAAAAGACTAAAATAAGTAACTTTATAATTAAAGAACTAAAACCGGTAAGTGTATAGTTAAGAGACTAAAGCTAACAAGTTTTTGAATAGTTAAAGGATTACGTCCTTCAAGTGTATAGTTAAGGAACCATTTTAGATCTACTTTTATAGTTGAAGGACTATTTATGTTATTTTCTCGAGAAATTAATAATGTTAGTATTAGTTATGAAAGTATTTGTAATGCGAGAATTAGTTATGAAAGTATTAATTATGTGAGTAATAACTATGCAAATATTAATTATACAAGTATTAATTATGCCGAGTTTATTCTACATCAATTTGTGAGGTTTGACCGCAATGCAATTATGCTACATCTATTGTATTGTAACTTGTATATACTTAACCGCATAAACTATTTCATATCTATCAGTAAAATTCTGCATACATTACCATACAATACAATAGATACATTGTGAAACAATGCTTGGATTGAAGTGTAGTTCTAACTCCAGGTGAGGCATACTCATATGATGCATAGGCAGTCTCATTTGCCACAACTTTTCAATGTCTTCTCAAATATCCTTGTGTTTCTTTCAATCTAGATGGGCACACACAAAATTATCTCAAATATCCCAATAAAGTTCAAAGTTCCAAGAACTACTAAGATGCCCATCTTAACACACTTTTCTCCATACACCAATAAAGACCCTTTTAAATTAAAAAAAAATCAGCAATTACATCAATTCACTTTAGAAACAGAAATATATCATTAACTATGATAAATATATTCCAAAGTAACAAGAAAAATATCATAAAAGAATAAAGTGAAAAGGAACAACTAAGTATGTAAAAAAAAAAGAATGAAGAATCCCAATTTTTCTACATTTTCCTCCTTGTCTTGATGTAATCACACTGAAGCTTCAATCCTTGGCTGAAAAGAGAAAGCACAGCTGAATTTCCCAGAACAAGCAGGCAATTCAGTCCACTCATTTTCAGCCAATTTGCACAAGAAATACCTACAACTCTCATCATCACTCGAACCAGAATTCGAAATGCAGACAAACATGTGTTCACTACTTCCTGTGCAGTTGATGTCCACTTTCTTGCTATAAAACTCATGTGAGATAGCTGATGGCATTGTCAACACTTGATTCCATGCCCATTCTTTTTCGTCAAATTTCCATATCCTGAGACTAGCTGTTTCAAGAAATTCAGATAGAACAACTGCTAATAGCTCTCCACCGCATTCAACTAAGTCGATTGAGTACTCGTGATGAAGAGGGAGCAATCTTGGGTACTCAAAAAAGTGTTTTTCGGTAAGATTGCAAGCCACCACTTTCCCCGAAGAGTTCAAGAAACAGAGGATTTCTTGTCTATCGCCTTTCGTGGTGGTGGTTATTGAAGAGTATTGCTTACATGGGTTTTTTTGTATTTCAGTTGCTACTACATTCCCACATTTGCTCAAGAAATAGAGCATTCGATCATCGTCATCATCGTCAGTAGTGCAGAATTGAGCTGCAGGGCAAGTGGGAGATTTCTTACTCAGAATTGCGGTGTCTTCCCAGCTATCTGCAGTGGAATCGTAAACTCTGAATGAAAGACTTGAAATTTCTCCGAAAATTAAGAAGAGTTTATACGATTCCTGAGTAGAAATCATTCCAATGGCAGAAAGGGTATCGGAATAATCCAAAAAAGGAAGCTTGCGATACGAGGAAGTAACAGGGTTACAAATGAGAAATTCACCATTTTCGCCGTTATGAAAACAGAGTAAGCCACCAGAAGCAGCGACAGGGAGGAAATTCGACTGATTAAGCTTCTTTTCTCCAATAAAATTAGATGGGTAGGTGAGGAATTTCCAGTTCATTTCAGCAGCATCATAAACAAATTGTTGTTGGTTCTTGATTTCAGACGATTGTGAAGAATCCACCATGTAGAACCAAGGTTCTCTTGATGGAATTTGAGAGCAAGCATGGTGGAAAACAGGGGAATTCGCAGCAGATTTCCACCTCTTGCTGACTGAAGTTAATCTTAGAAAAGTTGAAGTTGGAAGCCATGAAAGAACCCTCTCAAGAAGATCTTGATTAAGTTCATCCAATGGAAAAACAAGATGTTGATCAAGTAATTTCCTCTTTAGATTCCTCTTAGAAGCCATGAAAGAGAGAAGGAATTGGATAAATTTCTAATGTGGGATTTGACATTAGAATGTAATGGAGTATATAAAGAGAGGAAAGTGAAGGAGGGGAAGCTTCGTAAAGGATCTGTTATTTGCGTTGACAATAGAGTAAAAGTTAAAGTGAATTGGGAACACTTTATGGTGTTGAAGATTTGACAAAAGAAGCAACTTTGGATTATGTATGTGTGCTTTGGAATTATGTAGAAGCGTGAAAGCGCTTAATAACAAGTTGAAAAATAATATAAAAACATTTATGATAGGAATTAAGGGATGTATTTCACTCATGTGAAAAGATAAACGTGTAATTAAGTCCAAGCTAAAGTTCAAACTTTTGGAAAAAAAAATTAAAATTTTGTAAGGGGAAATTTCCCAAAGAAATGGTCAAATCAATTTTTCAAACTCATAAAAAGAAATACCAATTAAATAATCATTCGAATGCATACTTGAACAATAATTTAAAATATTTTTTGAAAGAACAAAATAAGATCCATGTCCAAACAGGTTGACCGTGTGAACAATTCCAACAGAGTATATTACTCATTACAATATGGATTACTGAATTGACTATATATTATGGTAATGATATAATTGAAATTATATTTTACTCCAATCATCATTGTGAGAATTTTTTTTCTTTGCAAGATGTTTAGAAAATAATTTATCTATTTTCAATTCTTTACATATAGTTATAGATATGTGAAAGTATGACACACACATATTAGAATAGAAAATTAATTAACAATGGACTATTGTTTTGTTTTTAGACTATTTAGATTTGTAGTCGTTGTACTAGCTATCGCATATACTATACACAGGGCTGGAGCTATCCTAGGGCAACGAGTGTCAAGACTCAAACAATATTTTTTTATCGTAAAATTACATCGTGTATATAAAAAAAAATTGGTTTAATAAATATATATATAAGTATTAATACCTCGCTTATATATTTTTACTTTATGACACTCTTTAATAAAAATTTTGACTCTATCAAAAACTATAATCTATATATATCCTCATCATACTCCACTCCACCGTGCATTCTATCTTTTCAAATTGTCTTTGTGAAATTAGATGAATATGGTATAGAAAAACAAAAGAAGATGGAGAGAGAGAGAAAAGAGAAGGGTCACGAGTGGGATAAAGAAAAGAAAAAAGTGTAATATAATATAATCTAATAGGGCCCTACCATTGAAGGGAACAATAAACTAACGAGGAAAAAGTCACTGTCATCAAGGCGCCGCTACCTCTTTTTTCACTTTGCTTTATTTCATTCATAAAACAACAACACGCTGACTTGGGGTTGGCGGTGGTTGAGCTTTGGATGGGCTAGGGCTTAGGGGTCATTACTTTGGGTGTCACGTTTAATATTTATATACGAACGAATCAACTTGTATAATATTTTTTTTTTACATAGATTAATTTCTGATTTGATTTATCAAGAAAATAAAAGTTTCAAGATATAATCACACGATGAATATGAAAACTTTTTTAGCTATGTGAATTTTAATTTTGTTGGTAAGGTGTTGATTCTCCACCTAATAATTGTTTTTCCCTTTCCCTACGCTTAAAAAAAAAGGTTTTAACAAAAAGAGGGTAAAAAAAAAGTTATGTTTAATTAAGTAGTTTGTTCATGGCTAAATAAATAAGTTTGCATTTGACTCAAGAAAAGGGAAACCTAACATTTGTCAATTCCAAGTAAAGCTGGGGTTGAGGAATCTATGCCTCGTGTTGCACCTACTTTTATTATATAAGAAACTAATGTGTGTACTTTGGTAGTTTGTCTTTTGGTTTTTGTCCAATTAAAGTCAAATACTTAGACAACAGAATCCAAAGCTAACCCATCCAATTGACTTTAGATGCTCGAGGCTCAACAACAACAATAATATTTATTTGTTTATTCTATTCAAATAAAGCCATCAATTACGATATCTTTTTTTCTCCAAAACTAATTTTTCTCTCTCGCATAAGCCATGTCCACATTTGTGGGATATTACAAACTGTATGTTGTTATAGTGTGTCATACTCCCATCCATTTTACTATCTTCCTTTCGAGAAAAAAGGATAATACTTTACAATTACATATACTACTATTATTATAACAATCTAAAAATATTACGTATTTTATTTTTATTTAAGAGTTTTATATTATATAATAAGGAAATTATACTTAGATGTATATATTTTTGCTACTAGAGATATACTAAAATAGGGTAAAGAGCTGAACAAGATATTTAAATATCTCAGATACATGCGAATCACACTAAATACATATATCCCGCATCTAATGTGATTCACATGTTTATAAGATATCATATACATAGGAGAGTAGCGTGCGAGACGGGATGGAGCCGAACGGAATTTGTTATTTATTCCAGTTACATGTATATCCACTTGGACACAGCGTATTCATAACAAATTATACATAACTTTGATCTCATGTAGCCCGAGATAGGGCACATCAAAATCTAGTAATATTCTAATATAGCAAACTAGAATATATTTAATTAATAAGCTTTTAAACTAGTGTGATTTATGTAAATCTAAATCTATTTTTCCCATGCCTTTTAAGAAAGAAATTAATTAATTTAAAAAGTAATTTGATCAAATTATCTTTATAAAATTGATTTAGTGTCAGTTAGACGAAATTATCAGTCTTAATGATATCAATACAATATATATATATATATATATATATATTTAGTATCAGTTAAGTAAAATTATTAGCCTTAATAATACCAATGTAATATATGATACTGATTTAATATCAGTTAAATAAAAATTATCAGTCTTAACGAATAAAGGTACGAGTTGTAATTCTTTTAAAAGAATAAGTATTTTTTAATTACTTTAAATCGTGATATAAACATGTAATTTATGGCCCATTTATGCCCTTTCTACTTTGGAAAAATTACATGAATAAATACATTTTTAAAAATAATTACTGATTTTAGCGATACTTTTTGTTTATTATCATTTATAGCAATATTGTGATAAATCTGTAATATGTATTAAAAGTGAATTATATATGCAATATATTTGAATTATAATTGTTTTTGAAATATATTATATTTATTTGGTACAAAATTATCACATTGTATTATAAGTGTATTAAAATGTGTAATAAATGTATTATCTATCATTAAAACTAGTATTATATTTAAATAGTAAATTTATTTTTGTAATATATATTAAACTTATATTATAAGTAAATTAAAAGTGGTCAAGTAAAAAAAATGTTATTACTATAAAATAATAAATATTTTTTATTATAGTATATTTATGGAAATTTTCCATTTTATTTTTTGCTTCGAGGCCTTTCGGATTGAGTTGTAATTAAGATATTTGGTTACAGTTGGTTTAATGGATAAAGGTTAGGGGAGTGGTATAATCGGAGCAAGTTGAGAATAAATTGAATTTTTTTATAATTTTTTTGTAGTACACAAAAATTGGACGCGATTTAATAAAATTTATTAATAGCTCAAACAAGCCTTGAGAGTCAGGTAGGGGTACATGGTAGAATTAAACTCAATTCACCCAATTTGTTTAAGTTTAACTCGTCTATTTATTAACTCAATTTATTTCAATCCAATTCATTATAAATTGCTCAAATTTAATTCAACTCACCCAATTATCACCCTAATTACTGCAAACGACACACTATGATATAGCTATTGTTTTTATTAGGAGAAAGATGTGTTAGGGTTATATTTTCATATTATTAAGCGCAACTAATCAAATAATCATTAACGAATATATTATTTTGGTAAATGGATTGATTGATAGACCAATGGGCTGAGATATATCTAGTTCAATGGTATAGAATTAAAATGAACGAATCAAATCTGAAATTTCACTTATTGGGTGGAATCATCCAATTGTATTGTGAATTATGAACTCTTGATGGACTAGAAAGAGCAAAGTTAAGCCAAGATCTTGAGCTAAGTTCATGTTATTTTTAAGTCAATTGGTCATATAATTAGAATATGCATATAATACCTGATATATTAAACTCACATGATAAACATTTTGGTGACCACATGAGTTTCACTGATTAAGTGTACAATCGGGCCAAAGAAATGTTACGAATCTAGTCGCCACTAAAGATGTCTATGTATAAAATGCGTTATTCGAAATTAGAGTTATTTTTATTAATCATTTTGTAATAGCAGTCTGAAACCTCCATTATCCATTTCATTTTTGTTCTTTGATAAGCTTGTAAGTTCTTATACAATCAATACAAACCTTAATTTGTTACAGGATATCTCACACACGCGTGTGCGCACGCACTAAAAGAAGTGCCTTTACTGGGTTTGAATCCCATGTGCGGCAAGTCCTTTTTTTTCTTTTTGCTATGGAATTGAGCTCAACTTTTTTGGGCTTGAATCTTCTTCTCTTTCTTTACTAGGAACTCAGATTTGAGAGAAGAGATATGGTTCAATGCACCATTGTTAAGTTGAAGCTTCAAGCTAGGTTTCATTTAAACTCTTTTAAATTGATTTTCATTAGCAAGATATCGTCGTATATCATGTGTATATATTTTATATATCCTGTGTATGTCATTTTTAATCTTGTGTATACCATGAGTATAAATCTTCATTATGACTTTACAATATTTATTTTATATGACGATTTCATTATTTTTTATTGAATAGTTTTGTCTCATCAATACTCATTGTGTTATTTTTTTTAAAGAAATACCTTAGATAATTGTATTTTGATTGGACTAAAAAAATATTTGGAGTACAAGTTAATTATATGTTTGTATGCAAACTTTATCGAAAAAATCCACAATTTTGAAAAAAATCCGAAGTTTATTAGTTTGGTCTGATTTATAAATTTAAAAGTTTGACACAATGGTTTGGTTTGGTATTTAAAAAATCCGAACCAACCCGAGGTGAAAAACTCAAAAAAATCCGAATTTTATCATTTTGATTTGATTTATAAATTTAAAATTGATATTTGAAAACCTGAACCAATCTGGTCATGTACACCCCTGCACATGGTGATGTTCTTATTCGACTGAAATATCGACCCAATACAAAATTTGGAAGTATAATATATACTACTATAAGATATTTTTAAATATAAGTTTCATTTTGTATATGTATCCCAATTTTCTAACAATTTGCCTAGATAAACGTCGTTGCGGCTTGTATGTGATAACTCTAGCTGGTGACAA